CCGTCCAACAATTTCTACACAAGTTGTTCAGTGACATTGGTTACAATCTATCTTTTTCTTAATTCAGTGTTCACTTTAGTTTTCCAACCCTTCAGTTCATGTCCTGAGCTCCAAAGTATGGTTTCCATCTATTTTTACTTGTTGTCGTCCTAGCATTGTTGGGAGGGAACATGAGGGTGAGACTGGTTATGCCTCAATCTTGTCCCCATCTAATTTTGAGACTACATTTTGTACATTAAAGAGTTTACATTAGGGTTCACTTTTTGTGTTTTGGGTGTCTATGGGTTTTGATAAATGCATAATGTCCTGTGTCCACTATTAAAGTATCATACAAAATAGTTTCGCTGCCCTTAAAATGCCCTGTGCTCCACCAATTTATCCTTTCCCCCTCCCCCAGACCCCTGATATTTTCAGTCTCTATAGTTTGGCTTTTTCAGAATGTCAGATAGTTGGAATTATACAGTATGTAGATTTTTCAGATAGGCTTCTTTTATTTAGCAATATTCATTTAAGGTTCATCCATGTCTTTTTGTAGCTTGATGGTGCATTTTTTTTTATCATCATAAAATACTCCACTGTGTAAATATACTTACAGTTTATCCATTCACCCTTATTGAAGGGCGATTTTAACTTTCCTTCCAATTTCAGCAATGATGAATAAAACTGCTAGAAACATCTGTGGGCAGGTTTTGTAAGGACATAGTTTCTCTTTCAGTAAATATCTAGGAGTGTTATTGTTAACTTGTATGGGAAGACTATGTTGAGCTTTTTAAGAAAACTGCCAGACTGCCTTCCAAAGTTGACTGTACCATTTTGCATTCCTACCAGAAATGAGCATTCCTGTTGCTCCACATCCTTGCCAGCAACTGGTGTTGCCAGTGTTTTGGATTTTAGCCATTGTAATAGAGGTATGTTGTTGTTAGCTGCCATCAAGTTGGCCTCCGACTCGTGTAGTGGTATCTTAGTGTTGTTTTAATTCTCAGTTCTCGAATGACATATGATGTTGAGCATCTTTTCATGTTTATTTGCCATTTGTAAATCTTCTTTGGTGAGCTGTCTGTTCATATCTTTTGCCCATTTTGTTGTCTGGTTTCTTATTGTTGAGTTTTGTGTGTGTGTGTGTGTTTTAATATTTTGGATACAAGGCCTTTATCAGTTATGTGTTTTGCAACTATTTTCTCCCCTTGTGTGGCTTTTCTTTTCATTCCATTATGTGTCTTTTGCAGAGAAGTTTTTAATTTTAATGAAGTTAAACTTGTCATTTTTTTTTTTTCTTTCATGGATCATGCTTTTGGTATTGTATCTAATATTCACTGACAAACCCAACATCACCTATTTTATCTTCTAGAAGCTATATAGGTTTGCATTTTACATTTAGGTCTATAATCCATTTTCAGTTAATTTTTGTGAAAGATGTCAGGTCTGTGTCTAAATTTTATTTTTTTCCATGTGACTCTCCAGTTGTTCCAGCACCATGTGTTGAAAAGACTATCCTTTATTAAACTGCCTTTGCTCCTTTGTCAAAGATCAGTTGATTATATTCGTGTGGGTCTATTGCTGGGCTCTCTATGCTGTTCCATCATCTATTTGTATGTTCTTTCACCAGTACCACACTGTCTTGTTATAGTAAGTCTTGCAGTCGGATAGTGGCAGTCTTCTGACTTTGTTCTTCTTCAGTACTGTGTTGGCTACTCCAGGTCTTTTGCCTTTCCACATAAACCTTAGAATCAGTTTGTCAACATCCACAAAATAACCTGCTGATTTTGATTTAGATAGTGTTGCACCTATAGATCAAGTTGGGAAGAACTGACACCTGGATAATATTAAGTCTTCTTATCCATGCAGAAGGGCCTGGCAATCTACCTCTGAAAAATCAGTCACTAAAAACACTACAGAGCACAGTTCTACTCTGACACAAATGAAGTCACGGTAAGTTGGAATTAACCCAATGGCAACTGGTTTGGTGTTTCCCTTATCCATAAACCTGAAATCGCTCTCCATTTACTTAGACCTTAGAGTTCTTTCATTAGTTTTATAGTTTTCCTCATATAGATCTTATACACATTTGGTCAGATTTAGACCTAAGTATTTATTTTTTGTGCTAATGTAAGTGGTAGAGTGTTTTTAATTTCAAATTCCAATTTTTCATTGTTGGTATGTAGAAAAGTAATTGACTTTCATAATATTAGTCTTGTATCCTGAAACCTGACTATAATCACTTATTAGTTCCAGAAAGTTTTTTGTTGATTCTTTGGGATTTTCTACATAATCATATCAACCACAAAGACATTTTTATTTCTTTCTTTTCAATCTGTATACCTTTTATTTCCTTATCTAGTCTTACCGCATTATTTAGGAATTCCAGTACAATGCTGAATAGGAGTGGTGAAAACATCTAGTTTCTCACCAGTAAGTATGATAGCTGTAGGTTTTTTTGTAGACATTCTTAATTATCAAGTTTCCCTCTATTCCTCATCTTGCTGAGAGTTTTTATCATGAATGAGTGTTGAATTTTGTCAAATGCTTTTTCTGCATTTATTGATATGATCATATATATTCTTTAGCCTATTGATGTGATGAATTACATTAATTTTCAAATGCTGAACCAGCCTTACATACCTGGGATAAATTACACTTGGTCACAGTATAAAATTTGTTTTATACATTTGCTAATCTTTTGTTGAGAATTTTTGCATCTATGTTAGTAAGAAATATTGGTCTGTAATCTTCCCTCCTAGTAATGTCTGTCTGGTTTTGGTATGGACTTGGTTATACTATAGTAACAAAGAGCCCAAAATCTCTGTAGCTTAACACAAAAGTTTATTTCTCACTGGCACTCGTATAAAATGTTTCACAAGTATGATGCGCCCCGTTGTATTACGCTTTGGACAACAGTAATTCTGCATTCCTTTAGAGATGCTTACTGATCATGGTAGATAGTTTAGGGTAGTGTTTTTCAGTGTGTGTCTCTCTGACCATTTGCACCAGAATCTCTAAAATATTGTTAAATGCAAGCACTTTATTGCTATATAAGTGTTTTTTTTTTTAATATCCCAGAGTCTCAGTCTATATTTACCAAATCAGAAAGCTAAAGACTAAAGCTTTAGAGCCTACTAAGTAGCTTCTGAAAGTTGCTTTCAGTTATATATTCCACTATTATATAAAAGTTGCTGTGCAAAAAAATATTTTACTTCCCTAGAAAATTACTAGTATAGCACTGTTTTTATTACAAAAATGGCAAAAATTAGTGTTCATTTTCTTGTAAAATGAGAAATACAATGGTGTATATATTCTTTTTGAGATAATTAATCATTATAGATTACTGGCTATCTTTTTCTATGTATAGCCTGCTAAAGCTTAAATACAGTCATACATATTTTTAAATATCAGCTCAACACTTCACTTTAATTAATCAAGTTATGCTAACGCCAACTGGACTGCTACATGGAAAAGCCAATGAAACAGCTAAAATTTAGCTAATGAGAATAGATCCATGTCACTGATAAAGTCTGCAACTGCTCTATACAGTTTTGCAGAAAATCACCATTTCATCCAATTTAGAATGCCAACTGGAAATTTTTCAGTATTCTAAAGCTGAACTGCAAAAAAAATTTTCAAGAAAAGCTAGACTAACAAGACCACCCCTGTCCTGCCACCTTAGCAAACAAATTAAAAACAAAAAATAGACTTCTCTTTGTCTTTTACTTAAGATTCCCTAAGTTATTTCTATCTTACCTAACTATATAACATCTGTTTAAAACATCCCCAAATAAAGTTATACTCTTCACTGCCAGCCATTTTCCTCCTTTTGGACAGAAATTTTATCTTAAAAATATATACTCACCTGACCTGTCTTCAAATCTGTAAGTTGGCAAGGCCACAATAAAATTATGATTGTAACATCAAGAAGTGACAGGTGTAAAAGGTAAATCCGATTAGTTTTAATTAATTATATATGCTGAAATTTTTACCCCACTATGCCTATTTTAATTATTCTGGAAGTTTTTTTGTTAATAGGTATTAAATATAAACATCCATCTTTTGGAACATGAGCTGTGCAAACCTTATATACTATTACGGTTACTGTAATGTAATATGCAGGTCCATTTGCTTACATGAAAACGAAACAAAACTTCATTCCATTTGCTTTTTCAAGAAAAGAAAATTCAAAGTAAAACATGGATATTTAATTACCTTTAAATAATATATGAAATAATTTACGTTATACATTCCCAAACACACTACAATTTTATAAGACATACACACAATCTGCTTTTTGCCAATATATATACCCTATAGGTTACTTAGGATGTTAACTGATTTCTCAGTCTATGTGTGAGCAAATAAACATACATATACATGTCTCAAGTTGAAGATTAAGACAGTAAACCAAAGAGTTAAATACAAAAACTCCGCAATGGAAGATTCCAAAACCGAAATCAGTGACTGGAACCAAGTAACAAGGCACAAAAGCTTCCCTTTGTTGCCACAGAGATTAAAACTGTCCTCTCCCAATGCTTAAATATGGAAATAGGCTTGGCTAAATTGCAAACTATAATTTACAGTGCATTTTTCTTATTCAATACTGTGCTACAGAAAAGCATTGGAAAACTAAACAGGATTAGATAAATTCTCATACAGTAAAGCTTTTTCCATTTGAAAAAAAATTTATGTTCAAAACTAATAGATATAGGTGTCATAAGAGTGTGAGAGATCCTATGCAGATTTCCTAGTACCCTTGAATTGTACCTTGTGCCAGAATTATACCTTGGGCCACCCATATCAATTAAATTTCACTTTCAATACCAGCTGAATGGTACTGTCAACTGCAAGTGATTGGTTTTTTTCTTTTTTTGTTATTTAAAGATACGTACCACTACACAGAATAAACAGTTAAAATGGCATGGCAAAATGAAACCCTTCCCAAGGTTTAAACTGCTTTTGTTAAACATTAACTTTATATTAGGCTCTCCTTAATTTTCCTTTCTTTTTTTTTTTTCCCCTCCCTCTTCTATAGTTAACAGAGAAGAAAAAATGTTCCACATAGAAATGACTGCTTTTTTTAACCAGAAGTGTTTGGATAAACTCAAAGTTAGACAGTCACTGAGAGATAAAGCAGTTTGTTTTCACATATGTACTATTCCTTGTTTCTAAGAACATATTAGAGCTTTATCTCTTTAAATTTACATATTTATCAAAGGAATAAAGCCAACATAAAATTAAAATTGACAGAACGTAGTAATCCGTATATAAAAGACAGTCAAATATGTGATAAATGTTTACAAAATCAATAACCTACCTATGCTGTAAAGAATAAGGAATCAAATTAGCACTAAACAAATTGTAATTAGAAGAAAACCTTTTGTTTTTGACTGATTTTGAATATGGAGGTGGACCAACTAAACATGAACTAAATAGGGTACTTCAGCAACTGTTTATACAGGAGTGTTTTTCTTATTACAGCATGCAATTCCTGCAGTAATGAGAACACAATTCTTTACAAATAAAACAAGGCTGACCAAAACGAAAAGAAAACAAAAAAATTTTGCTTCAGGTTATAAAACTTAAAGGTAAAGAATGAGCTGAAAATTTATTTTAAGGCCTTCTTAGAAATATTTTTCATGGTACTTCAACATTAAACATCACTAACTGGCAAAATATATGTATGTATTCATAGTTACATTACATAATCCAAAGTACACACCATGTCAATTATTAAGTAAAGGCCCATTTTGTCAAGTTTTGTTTTCTTGCAATTAAGTTATACTTAAAGAAGGTTATTCATGTTTGGCTGTAATTAACACATAAATCTACAGAAATGTCAATTCACTAGTGTACAGTGCAAATTGTGTTTTCAGTAAACTCCCCGAATACCACTCATTTCTTACAGAACTGAATGTCATTCCTTGCTAAAAATGCAATTAAACTGATTTGTTTCTCTCCCAAGAGCAGTTATTATTCTTTCTTCAACTATTAACCTACTGTTAAACCACACGATCATTAGTAGAAAAATCCCTTTTTGGTCATGCAGCACAGACCACCCTCACAATAATCCAGTTCTTGCACTACAGCCAGTCCAGAAAATATCCAAAGAGTCTAGCAAGTCATTCTTGCCACGCCATACTCTAAGCTGACAACAGCAGGTTCTGACTTGGAAAACGCTTCCGCATAGTCACTGTAACGATTATCTGCTGAATTGCTGCCCTCTATAGTTCGAAGAGCATCATTCACAGGGAGCTCCTTAAAACACAAGGAGGTTTTGAGACTAGGTGATTCAGGATGAACTGAATGTAACAATTCCTTGGTGGGGACGCCATCTGTTTCCTTATTTTTGCGCTGCTTAATTTTCTAAAACAAATCCAAATTTGAAAGAAATTACTAATTGCACATACTACATGGTCAGTATATGTAACTCGAAAAAATAAAATCTGCTTTTGGAAATGTTTTGTGTACAATGCAAAATGACACCATAATAAAATCTAGTACAGATGAATAAGATATGGGTGCGAATTCTTATCGTTTCCAAATCTTATAACTAAAAATATGTTTTCACGTTAAAAAAACAAAAATCAATCCAGCCAGACTTGTCCAGGGAAGGTCACTAGGCTTTCACATTTGAAAAGGGCATTATGTTACCCAGAAAGTATGACAAGTATTTTACAATAAAGAAATTTCATGAGACATTCACTTTGAAATCACAACTGTATGGTATATCAATCACAAACTAATTTAACTACAGGTCTCATTGACTATAAGGAGCTTTTTCTTACTTGGTTTCCCTTTAGTGGTTGGCTAAGTGAACACAGGCTTTAAAACAAGAGAACTTTTTTTTTCCCCAAAGAGCAGAGATTGTAAAAGTGTTCTTTGGCTGAGGCTCATGTTCTCCAAACCCCTGGACTGATCTCCAGACTATCTGCACTACCCATATCTTGGACTTGCCTCTGTTTCAAAAGATCCTCCTACAATTTACTCAGGCAGTCTCTTAGATAAATTACTTCCGTATCTAAGAGAAGGCTAAGGAACACGCCTGCCTGAAAGGTAAACAAGAAAAGTTTTTTTTACCTCTAACAACTATCTAGGATTTTTTAAATATATATGTACTAACTGATACCCTTTTGTTACATATGACAGCAAAGAAAAGATTATAGCAAAAACCTTAAGGTGGGGAGGGATTTCTTAAACAAGACACAACAAAAGCATAATACAAAGACTGGTCAGTTTGACTACACGAAAATTTAAAATGTCCATATAAAACATACCATAAATAAAGTGGAAAAGACAGGTGTGACGAGACAAAGTCATTTGTAATATATATGAGTGACAAAGAATTACTATCTGGTATACAATACAACCTGTGAAAGCTGGAATCTGTGTAAGGCGGAAACATGTCAGAGGAGGAAAACTCAAATTACATCAGTCTAAAATAGTACAATAGGGTCGCTATCAGCTGGAAAGACTTGACAGCAACAGGTTTGGTTTTTCATTGTTTTTGGAATAAACCTAGTAAGACTGCACCCTGTCAAAGGTGGAAAACTTGCAAGACCCGGAAAAACAAGGCAGTGTTGTTGCGCTGCAGCTTTTGCAGGTTTTACTGGATAAAGAACTATTACATCAATAAGAAAAAGGCAAACATGCCAACAGAAAAATGAACCAAGGTTTGAATGGGCCATTCCCAGAAAAGGAAAACGAAAGGGCTGACCAACATATAAAAAGACCTTCAACTTCACTTGTAATCATGAAAATCCAAAACTGAAAACAATTTCAATGTTCATTAGCAGTAGAATGGATAAAGTATGATATTCATGCAATAGGATACTATAAAATGAATTAAGCTATAATGTTGAGCAAAATGAAGCATATGAGTAGTATGAAAACCTTTTAAAAAGTTTTAAAACATGCAGTTTCTTCAGCTGAGTGAAGAGTATATGGGTATTCATTTTGCTTGTCTTTTACACCTTACACAAATAATATATACATTCTTTTGTATTTTCTTCAGTATATAATAAAATTATTTCAAATGATGTAAAACAATACTAAAAATTGTTTGTGGATACAAACATGTAGCAAAAATATAAAAATATGAATGGAATAATTAACACCAAATTCAGCATGGTGAATCTGCCCATCTAAAAATAGGCAAAAGGGGGAGTGAGGAGGAGGATTAGGTAGGAGTACACAGGGGTCTTCAAATACATCTATAATGTTTTATTTCTTAAAGCAAAAACAAGAAAGAGCTGAAGCAAATATGGTAAATGTTGAAATCTCACAAAGCTAAGTGGTAAGCATCTGAATGTTTATTACATCTATCTCTACACTTTTCTATATACTTCAAGTATTTCAATATATTTTAAAATACAGAGAAAGATATTCAAATAAAGCTACTCAATCACAGTAGAGGAGACCAGATTTTGAAGCAACCATGCATACTTAACCAGGTTGCTGTATATAGTAACTTACACTGCCAACACAAGCAAGGAAATAAAATAATTTAATATTCCAAACATATTACATCAGATACTTTAGAATACTTACAGATTCTAGGTCTTTAACCTCTTTCTCTAATTGCTTATTCTGCTCATTCATATTCATAATTATGTTAAATACAGACTGCCTAGGATGCAATGTTCGATCAAACTGGTGGTACATGTTTCTCCAAAACCTTTATGACAAAAACAAAAGTTTCAATAAACTGTGTTTGAGAACAAATCAAGTATAAATACTTTAATTTTGTCAACTTACTTAAAATTGAAAGATACTGTACTTGGCTCCAAGACTGTCAATCTCTGAGATTTGGAACTGTAGAGAGGATTTAAGTATTTCTCTTGGTCATTCAAAAGAAACGGCCACAGGGAGTAAGTCTTCTCCTTCAACCTTAATGGTAATCAGAAGAACAGAAAGATCTTTCCCATCGATGAAAAGTATTGGTACTGATACTCATTTTCATAATTCAAGCAACTGTTTCCAAAATAGGTTTACGTTTTGGCCTTCTCTATTCCGTCTAACCTCACCATGTCTTTGAATTCTGTATTCTCTCTTTTCTCCTTTTCACCCATAATCATGTCATTAATAAAATCACATCTCTCAAACACAACACGGGCATAATCATTTTCTCCCACAACCACACACTTCAAGAGCTTTCTCTCTTTCCTCACACAATTTCATAAACTTGGTCTCTGCTACACCTATTTCAAATCACCACACACATACACAGAATAAGAAACTAATTCATCTCCCTGTTTGGGTTTGCTTTCCCAGCCCCATTACCCAGCCTGTACTGGCAAGTATTACAGGGCAGAACAAATTTAAGTGTGAGTGGGTACAAGGAAACTGGGACAAAATCAGGACATTATTCAAAAGTAAAAAAAAAAAGAAAAAAGCTAATTACATTTCAGATCTGTGAGTAAGGAGGTAAAGGGTAGACTGGTTTTAGACAGTGTACTTACAGAGTAAACTTAACATGGACAGGGAAACATGATGAGAAAGGAGTTGAAAAAGGTGAAGCATCATCTCACTTTTTGATGACCCCTAAGATAACCCATAACTATTTTCTTAGAAAAAGACTACCAGGAAATACCAGCTTTTATTACCATCTTTGGATTTGTGAGGGTGTTTGGCAATAATTGAGAAGACTATTTTTTCCTAAAATACCTCTGTACTATAAGAAAGTCACCTGCTGCAAATTACGATAAACTATTATGAATTACTATAGCACAGAGATAAAGTCTTAATGTTCTTTGACTTGTTCTTCTGTTATACTGTTCATTCCCTATACAACATCTTTAGAATCTTCCACTTACTCTTGCTTCTGTCATCAACTTATTCTATTCACTCACCACCTCGTAAATATCAAGTAGCATCTCCAACTGCAGTTTCTGCCTCCACTACTTTTTTATTCCAATTATTAAAAGCATGTAGTACACAGCACTCTGTTGGGAGTGAGAGTATGTGGCTGTCTTCAAACTGCTACTAGATTTAGCTTCTAACATGTCTCTTCTATGTTCAAGACTCTGTAACTTCTCTTTATTGCCTACTGTAAGAAATCAAAGCTATAAGCCCAACTTAAAAATATGTATGACTCCTTAGCCTTACTCCAGCCTTCCCTTGCATCAAAATTTAGCCAGAAACCACTACCCACAAAGACTGGTTGGGAAAGAGCAGGTGAGCTAGTCTCAAGTACAGTGTCTCAGAGCTCATCTGAGACCCAACTCAGGGACAGACACACTGTATCAGCCAGCTGCTCTGAAATATGAGGAAAGCTACAGGTTTCATCTTAACTTAAAAAAGAGCAACAGTTATAAAATCTTTTAGGATACTTTAGCTTATGACCAATACTTTCTGGCTAATAAAACAGTTTAAAGATTTCTTTGCTCTAAAATATATATTCTGATTGAAAGGCACAAGAGAGCGGCATCAAGCATGTTGGTAATGTTTCCTGATCTGGGTGTTGGTTACGTAGGTGGAATCAGTTTGTCAAAATTTACTGAACTTCACACTTAGCGCTACATGTACTTTTCTGTAGGTAAGCTACCGTTAAAAAACAAATTTTAAAAATACTTATTTACCATTAACCTGAGAGGCTGAGGGATACTCAGAGGGTACTCAGCTTCAGAAATATAGGCAATAAAATCTTTATAATAAAAATCAATTCTATTTTATCCTGTCAAGATATTTTATTAAGTTTAACTAAGTAGGCAGGATTAAAAAAAAAAACAACTCCATTACAGTCAAATCATCTTACTTGAGTTCTTCTCTTTCCTTCTGACAATTTCCAAGGAAGTTTCCAAATTGACATGAATGAATATGTTCATGGATCTGAAGAAGAAATGCTTCATTGAATTCAAAGGCTTGCGGAAACTGTTCGGTCAAATGCCACACACATTCCAAAAACTGAATAAACACTGGTGAGATTTCCTTTGGGTCACCATCCAAATGGCCACACCTAGGCACCCCCCCAAAAAAAAGTACAAGCTTTTAAAAATGCCTCTGGAAGAAGTCCATTATTCAGGTATTGTTAAATTTAAACACATATGCCAAAAAAAAAAAAAAAAAATCCTAAAACATCTTTACATCAGCACAAAAGAACTGCAATGGTTTTACTGAAACAACTGATAGTTTTTCAACCACAACTTTAAAGGATCTGTTACTTTCCAAATACTACAATCCAACCAAAAAGGAAGATATTTAACAGCAATGAAAAATAACAAAAGTATTAGAATTTAAAAGACGTAAGAAAGAAAAACATTAGACCAGTCTTCATATAAAACATAGTACAAAATCTTAGCACTCTCACCTCCCCCAGATATGCAAGTTCACAAAGAACCGAAACATTCTGGCAATCTAGTTTCACTAATTTTACAAAATACATAAATGTGTGAATGTGACTCACCTCTCTGAAAATTTATGTCCAAAGGAAATCCAATCCTTCTCTATTAAAACCTTAATAAGAAAAAGTAAAATCCACTTTATAACAACTTTCAATGTTTTTGTTTAGAATAGACTAGATCCTATAGCTTAAAATCAGCATTATATACTTTTAATTTATAGTTATAGAAAAAACAAAAACAAAAAGGTAGACTAGACCCAGATTAGACCTAGGGTTAAAGAGTGAAAATGATATATGGAAAAAAAGAGTGGTCTTGTGACTTAAATTATTTTAGTTTTAGTCATTATATTTTAAGTAAAAAATGTGTTAAAAAGCAGTATTACATTTAAATTTCTCTATGTATGAAGGTGATACGTGCACAGAAAAAAGGCTAGAAAAATCTAAACTAAAATGTTAACAGTGATTAAGTCTTGGTGGTAGATTAGACTGGATGTTTTAAATCTTTGGCTTACTTGCATATTAATTATATAATACTTTATAAACATATCTTCTTGGTATTTAATACACATTTATAGTTTCCTGACATAATCACCAGGCACATTCTTTTCAGTGTCAAAATTTTCACTTTTAACTTCTCTGATTTTGTCTTAAATCTCTCTGATGTCTGCAGAAAGTCGCAGTAAAGAAGGCAGTTTCTGGGGCCAATACAGCATGGGTTCAAACCCTCACTCCCCGACTTACACGCTGTGTGACCCTGGCCAAGGTCTCCATGCCAGAGCCTCAGATTTCACCGGGCCCTCGGCTATTCTTATACACAAGCATGTTTAAAAACTTAACGAACCCCTTTCTCACTAGACTATTCCTCTGCTTATCTCTGTTAAAAGCAGGAAAGCACCACCATGCACCCTGGCAACCGAGTCAAGGACCTGAAAATGATCCGAGAGCACTCCTCCTCTCTTCTACCCCACAGCCAGTCCATGGCCAACTCTTACTGACTACTTTCTTAACATGCCTGGAAACCAACACCTCCCCATCCACTCATGTGTCACTGCTTTAGTGCTGGCCCTCTCCTCTTTCTTGTATTACTGTAACCGTTTCTATCCTGGTCTCTCGGCCTACATTCTTACTGCTCTCTGTAGTCCACAAGACACCAAACCATCTTTTTGAATAGTAAAACTAATCAAGTTACTGTTACCTCTATTTAAAGTCCTGTAATGACTTCTCAGAAGCCCTGGTGGTGCAGTGGTTAAAGGACTCAGCTGCTAACTGAAAAGTCAGTGGCTCAAATCCACCACCTGCTCCGTGGGAGCAAGATATGGCAGTGTGCTTCCATAAGGATTACAGCCTTGGAAACCCTATGAGGCATTTCTATTCTATCCTATAGGGTCTCTATGAGTCAGAATCGACTCCACAGCAATGGTTTGGTTTGGTTTTAATGGCTTCTCAATACCCCAAAAGGGTGAAGTCCAAATTCCAGCCTGCAGCCTTCTCTTTCCCAGGTCCTCATCCCACTATCATTCCTCTGCATCTAAGATCCCCAATCTAACACTCCCCTGATCCCTCCATAACAAATGATTTGCAGTCACCAAAAGCAGGTATGCTTTAACTCACATTGGTCCTTCTGCCTGGGAAGCTCTCAAATTGTTCCTGGTCATTTTATCATATGAATTCATTTGCATGTCTAGCAAACAAAGCCAAACATGGCCAAAAAAAAAAAAAAAAAAAAAAAAGCTATTCCTTATGTTACACTCTCAAGGGAAGCTATCCTGTTGAGTGTCATTTTCTTATTAGCAGCCCTCCCATTTGACCTATGCCAGATTAAAAATGTTAGCACCACAAAATGATGGTGCTTAAGAGGGGCTTGGTGATTTTAAATCTTCCCCTGCTTTAAAACTGCACTATAATTAGTAATTCTAGGTGGATAAAAACTTTCTAACATCTCATTTCCTTTACTCACATTTTAAAAACATAAATTAATTTGATCATATGTTAAAAAACAAAAAACAGGAGCCAGAGACAGATCTTTACAACGCAGAAAATCTATTCAAATACAAATCTAATCTTCAGATATAAAACAGGCCTCCCAACATATTACACTTAACAAATGAAGGAGCTATAAATAGAAAAGTTTCCTCCAGAATACAATTTTTAAGTATGTTTATCTGTGCCTTAGATAAAAATGAGAAAATACCAAATATTTCTATCTTAATACTTTAGAAAAAAAAATTATAAATCTAAACCTTTTTGTCAAAGAGGAAGCACAAATGAAAATCAGTCTAACTCAAGGATTCTCAAGTTCAGCACTGCTGACGTTTTGGGCAGGATAATTCTGTGTGGAGGCTGTCCGGTGCAACAGAGGATGTTACAGGCACATTCCTGGCCTTACCAACTAGATCCAGCTGTACCGCTCACACCAGTTGTGACAATCGAAAATGTTTCCAAACACTGCCAATGTTGCCTGGGGGGAGGAGGGGGCGACATTTGAGAACAACCGGTCTAGGCGAACAAATACTTACCATGAATCCTTTAATTGTCCTATAGTAGGAATCCAGTAAGAGAGAGCCAAGGGAACAAACCTGGGAAGTCCTATCCCAACCATCAGAACAATGTACTAATACACTTGCGTTTTCAACCATTATTGCCTGAAAAGAAAGATCACATACTTACATTCTGGCAGACTACATTTTAGATCAGTCAACCAACATGTTCTATTTACTCCAAACTATGCTAGCAGGCATTTGTAGAGTAAAGGACCTACTTTTACTCTAAGTAAGGTGGTCTTTGTCCTCGGTTCCTGGGAGTTACCGTGGTGCCTTGGTCTGGGACTTCCAGGCCACACCTCAAAATTTGTGCTGGCGAGTGGGGACTGGCTGAAACAAAAAAGTCTCACCTGGGAGACTGGTATCAACTAGCCTCAGGAGGCATGATTTAGCCTGTCACGCTGGACTGGCCAATAAAAGCCCAGAACACTGCAGGCTCAGAGGGCCTCCTGGTTGATGAGAACATCTGCTCTTAGGAGGGTAGTGTGTCCTTGGGACAAGGAAGCTCCACAATGGGAACCTTCCCAGACCTCACCCTATGAGTCACTTCATTTGTATCCCTTTTGGCTACAATAAATCTGTACTTGTAAGTATGATATACTCTGTGAGTCCTGTGAGTCATTCCAGAGAACCCAAAGGGGCAGTGGGAGCCAGTAGGTCAGAAAGTAAGGGTGTTGTGTAGACACCTGAGCTTGTGGCTGGCAGCCTAAAAGGGTAGTGGGAAACCAGCCCCAAATCAGTGGCCAGCAGTTCAGGATGGTGTCCTTTTAACTTGTGAGTTATAATGTAGCTCTGGGAGGCCAGGGTCAGAAAGACTGCTGTAGGGGTGGGTGGAGACAAAGATGGAGAAGTAGGAATGTGAGGGCTGGATCAGTCTCCACATTTTGGGTACTGGATTCATGTTGATCCTTATCACACAGTATTACATTAGAAAGAAGAGCTACGATTGTAAAGGTATATTGCCACAGCATAATTTCCAAAATCAAAACAAAAACACAAAGCAAAAAGAAATAATACGATGACAAAAATCCTGTTTCAAAGTATTTCAGAATTTCTTTTTAAGTACCTACATTAAGTGCTATGAAATTTATAAATATCAAATTAAAGTGAGCCTCATTAAAGAGGTAAACCAAAAAAAAAACCAAACCCATTGCTGTCGAGTCAATTCCGACTCAGAGCAACCCTGCAGGACAGAGTAGAACTGTCCCATAGGGTTTCCCAGGAGTGACTGGTAGATTCGAACTGGTGACCTTTTGGTTAGCAGGCGAACTCTTAACCACTACACCACCAGGGTTTCCTTAAAGAGGTAAAGCATAATGAAAGTTTTATAACTGGAACAGATACCAGCACCCAGCAGAATAGATCCATTCCTTTCCAAACATTATAAACCCCAAAACCAAATATTAGAGATAAAGAGTTACTCTGGCTAAGAAGATTGCAGCATCCATAATAGCTTTGATATGGCGAAGCCATCCGGAGCTCTCCACACCAGAGTAGAAATCACTGACAGACAGCCCTTTGGTACCACTGACTAAAAGTAAAAGAGGAGAAAAATTTTTAATTAGAATAGAGACAGAATCTCCACTGCTCCTATTCCACATATCTCTGGGTGAATAAACTGGAGGGAAAGAGAAGAGAAAGAAAAAACAAATAGGCTAGACTCTTTATAAATGAAAACAGGACCCTAGAAGCTCAATAATGAATTTTTTTGGTATATTTTTCTGTCATTTCTTATGCTTAAATACTCTAATCTCCTTAAAAAAAAAATTACAGCACGTGTTTAACTAAAAGTAGTCTGATATCTTAATTCTTTAAATGTCATACCATGACTGGAAAGATACTTTAATACTTAAATAGAACAGCATTACCATAATTTTCACTGTATTGATTATTCAGAATACTTACCTAACAATAATATCTGCAAAACTATTGTAACTATACTGTCCCATATAGTGACCACTACCCTAATGTAGCTATTGAACACTTACAATGTAGGTAGTCCAAACAGATGTGCTAAAAGCATAAAATATATATAATGGATTTCTAAGACTTGATTTTTTAAAAAAGTAAAATATCTCATTACTCATTTTGTATACTGACTCTATATTAAAAGAATGTTTTTCTTTTGAGGTTAAATAAATATATTTAAATTAATTTCACCTGCTGCTTTTTACTTTTTAAATGTGAGTACTAGAAAATTTTGAAACTACATGTGACTAGCATTATATTTCTATTGGACAAAGCTGCTGAAAAGATAAGCAGGAATCATACCTTCCAATAATTTCTGAAGGCTGGACCTCATGACATGAATATTTTCAATCCCAACAAACTGAAATCTAATGTTAGAATAATTGTCTTCATTTTCATAACCTTTTCCAGCTGCTCTGTTGGCCATAGCATTCAGCTGAAATTTAAAATTTTAGAAATTTAGAGACAAATTACTTTTACCTTTTAACTTGTCAAAATGTCATGGAAACACTCAATATGCCATAATTTACTTAGCAAAGAGTTTAAAGGAACTTGTCAAAACTGAGTAAGTTACTATTTTTTAATAAGTAACAATGCCACCCAAAAATCCATTGCTGTAGAGCCAATTCTGACTCATAGCAACCCTATAGGACAGAGTAGAACTGCCCACAGGGTTTCCAACGAGCAGCTGGTGGACTGAAACTGTCGACTTTTAGGTTAGCAGCCGTGCTCTTAACCACTGCGCCACCACATATTGATAGTAAAGAAGGATACTACAAAATAACAATATGATTGCTATACAATGTAAAGGTCTAGATAGGAACTTCCCCACAAATAATTCATAAAGCTAACTCGTTTATGTTTTCAGCCAGTTTTCCATGTTTATAATATTAAACAATTCAAAGGATAAAAATGTCTCCTATCTAAATCCTAAATGATTCAGAGATGAGCAGATCTGAAAAGCTTTACTTTTACAGAATCCATCAATGAGATTCACTCCAGAACAAGCTTGAAGTGCTAGACCATTTAGAAAGCCACAAGGACCCCAAAATATGCCTCAGATTACTTGAGGTCCTCTACACTATAGATTATTGTAGGCCCACACAGTAAACAGTACAGCATATAATCCTCTATCCTGCTACATCTCCAAGAATTGAGGCAAAAATAAACCGGTTTCTAGGAGAACACAACTTGCCTGTTGGCCCATGTTGCCAGAGGTTCACTTAGGCTTTGGCATGTTTAATTCCTTCAAAACAGGATTTCATATAGTATAGTACAGTAAAACCTGCAAAGCCAGAATCTATGTAAGGCAGAAACCTGTCAGAGAAGGAAAACTCAAATATTTTCCACTAAAATGAGTGACAGAAAAGTGGTTAAGACGGCACCCTGTCAAAGGCAGAAAACTTGCGAGACCTGGAAAGACAAGGCAGTCCCGTCGAGTTTCAGCTCTCACCGGTTTCACTGTATTACCATTTACTAAACATATTTATGAACTTGAATAAAAAAACCTAAATTAAAAGAAAAAGGATCTTTTTATTCATTGGATTATGGTCCTAGGCTGGTAAAGAGTACTGTTAAATTATATCTACTGACTTCACTGACTGTTTAGCACATATAATAACTAAAATAAAGAGCTATATGTTAAAAATGCTTCCAAATGATTACTACATGATTTTAAGCTTGCCTATTAACACAATCATAGAAAGACATAATTTCTACATAGAAGACAATTATACAAACAAGAGGCGTTAGGTGCTGAGAAACAAATCCCCCTCAAACCTCAACTTCAGAAAGTCGTATAATTACCTCTTATATCTACTCCGCCACCCACCACCCACTGCCATCAAGTCTATTCCAACTCATAGTGAACCCATAGGGTTTTCAAGGCTGTAAATCTCTACGGAAGCTGACTGCCACATCTTTCTCCCACAGAGCCCCTAGTGGTTTTGAACCACCAGCCCTTCAGTTAGCAGTTGATCACTTTAACCACTGTACCACCAGGGCTCCTTTTTATATCTACTATTACCTAAAAATAGCTCTGAATAATTAATCCACCCACATTAGACAAAGAAGTAAACACAGATTTCTTACAGGAGATGTTACTAACACTTCTGACTCCTAAGCAAGTCTTTTATTTTAGCAAAATTAACTATTCTCAAATGTACAGATACCGTTCCTGATTTTTAAATACTTCTAATTCACTGAAATTAATCTCTTTTCTCCATTATTTTTGTCACGAGACTGCATAATGATGAGAATTACTTCTTAAACAGCTACCATTCCTCACAAAGCTGTCTAAAAGTGCATGTGTTCTATATCGCTCACTCGCTTTCTCTCATCGCTTTCTCTTATTTTCTCATCATTCCAGATTTTTGAAGAAATCATCACTATAATTCTGCCAATGTCCTTTTGTGTAGCCCACCAGCTCTGCATGCGACGCTATAATAAAAATTAAAAGTAATGTTAGCTATTATCATTGAGAATTTTAATTAGTTCAGGTTCAGGATCCTATATGAATTGAATGTTTGTGTTCACAAAGAGAAAAATGGATTCTGACATTTGTCCCGATGATAAAAATTTAATCTTACACTAGATGTCTAACAGAACAAGCATTTCCAGTTCAATATTCATCATTCTCTAGCGCAATACTTCCTAAGTTAACTGTTTTCTTCATTTTCCTGAATATTTCTAAATAAGGTCCATTATTTTAACACAAAGTATGGTGTCAATTAAAAATTCTGTAAAGAACAAGAATTTCTAACTTTTCACAACACACAAAATTTAATATTTCTTCACAATAACATATGACACGTACACAATTAAGAGCTCAGTTTTCCTAAATCCATGTGTATATGAGGACATAAGAGACAGGACATAAGAGATCCCCAAGTTGATCTTTCTAAGTTGGTGTCCTTTAAATGATAAACACTGACGTTTTACAACAGTGTGTGCACACATACGCAGTGTATCATTTTAATCTCTAAGGTTCTCACCACCTCTAAGACAAGACAGAACAGTAAAAAAATGTATTAGAGAATAAATATATTTTTGAAGGGGAGGCATAGTTATTGCTTCTTGTTACTCTCTTTATTGATTCTAACAAAAGCATACTGCCTGACATTTCTTTGATTTTCTGTGTCTTTTTTTCCCTCTGGCTGCCTTTAAGGTGTTCTCTTTATCCTCAGCTTTTAGCAGTTTGCAATAGTTTATTCCTGCTTTGTGTTTTCTTAGCTTCTTGGATGTGTGGTTTGATGCCTTTCATTACTTTTGGAAAATTCTTGGTAACTATCTCTTCAAATATTTCTCTTTTCTTCACCTTCCGGGACGCCAATAACATATACATTAGACTATCTGATCTGGTCCCGCATTCTTGGATGCTCTGATTTGTTTTGGTTTTACTATTTTTTTTCCTTTGTGTTTCAGCTGAGTAATTTTTATTGACCCATTTTCAAACGAATTTATTATTTCCTCGGCTGGGTTGAGTCTACTGATAAGCCTAGTAAAGGCAGTCTTCACCTCTCTTTTTATTTATTTTTTCCCATACAAAAATTTATACATACATTGTTACGTGACTCTAATTGCTCTCTCCATACTGTGACAGCACAATCCTCCCTTCCACCTGATTCCCCATGTTCATTCAACCAGCCTTCCCATCTCACCTCCAGACAGAAGCTGACTGTTTAGTCTCTTGTATCTACTTGAGCTAAGAGGCACACTCCTCATGACTATCACTTTATGTCCCACAGTCCAGTCCAATCCCTGTCTGAAGAGTTGGTCTTGGAAACTGTTTTAGTTCTGGGCTGATAGAGAATCCAGGGGCCACGCTTTCCAGGGTTCCTCCAGACTCAGTCAGACCATTAAGTCTGGTCTTCTTACTACAATTTGAGTTCTGCACCCCACCTTTCTCCTGCTCCATCCGGGATTCTCTGTTGTGTTCCCTGTCAGGGTGGTCACTGGTGGTAGCCAGGTACCATCTACTTCTTCTGGTCTCAGGCTGATGAAGTCTCTGATTTATGTGGCCCTTTCTGTCTCTTGGCTACTACTTTCCTTGTGGTCTTTGGTGTTCTTCATTCTCCTTTACTCTAGGTGGTTGGGACCAATTGATGCATCTTAGATGGCTGCTCGCAAGCTTTTAAGACCCCAGATGCCACTCACCAAAGTAGGATGCAAAACACTTTCTTAACAAGCTTTGTTATGCCAATTGACCTAGATGTCCCCTGAAAGCATTATCCCCAGACCCCTACCCCTGCTACTCTGTCCCTCCAAGTGTTTGGCTGTATTCAGGAAACTTCTCAGCTTTGGTTTAGTCCAGTTATGCTGCCTTCCTCTGTAGTGTGTGCTGTCCTTCCCTTCCCCTAAGATAATTCTTATCTATTCTCTAGTTAGTAAATAACCCTCACTCTCCCTTCCCACCCTCGTAACCATCAAGGAATGTTTTCTTCTGACTCTTCACCTCTCTTAACCATGCTTTTTATTTCGAGAATTTCCCTTTGATTCTCTCAGAGTTTCCATCTCTCTGCTCAAATGAACTACTGGTACATGAAACAACACAGACAAATCTCAAATGAACTATGCTAAGTGAAAGAACTCAGACTCAAAAGATTACCTACTATATGATTCCATTTGTATGACATTCTGGCAAAGGTAAAAGACAGTACAAGGGTAGAAAACAGACCAGTGGTTGTCAGATGCTGGTAAGGTAGGGGAGGTGCAAGAGGGAATTTGGGGGATGATGGCATTGTTCTATTATCTTGATCGTGGTGGTGGTGGTAGTTATATGAATGTATGTGTCTGTCAAAACTCACAGAAGGTGAAATTTTACTGTCTGTAAGTTAAAAGAAAATTACAAAGTTATAAGACCCAAAACCTTTTTCTTAGATTTGGCTCTAAAACTCACTTGGGAGTAAAACCTAATGTGAAGCAATCTTTAGTTTTTATTTATCCCCACTTAGTAAAAATACTCATATGTTTAAATTGAGAATATTAATGTTTGATTATAGTGTTGTCCCAGACCTGCTAGTGGATTTATACAATACACAATATATGCACTATGTCAGCTTCTAAAATCTGAAAAATTTTGAATTTGGAAGAAGGGTTTAGAGACCTATATAACGCCTTTGTCAGCTAGAGATAGTTACTTGAAATAATGTTAAGAATGTCAATACATTTCCATAAAGAATTAAAATAACTTCAGTAACTTCCTTAATATCATTAGCCTTGATTAATTTGAAATCAGGATTCAGGTATTTTAAATACAGGCAAATGTATCAACTCTCATTAACTAACATACTGAAGATAATTACACTAACAGACTGTGTAGAGTTCAGATACATACTTTGGGCCTGGTGTCCATGACATACATATAGCGGTTAACTGGATTGGCTTTACTGATGGCTTGAAGCAAATGCTCATCCTCCAGACACCTGGCACTGAATCCTGCCAGCGGTTGGCTACATCGACAAATGGCAGCCTGATTTTTAAAAGACAAGAAATGATTATCCAAAGAGCTCTAAAACATGTCTCAAAAATGCTTAAGAGAAAAAGAAATGTTAAAATCAAATATGCAATCTGTTTAAAAGTTGGCAGGACAGTTAGTAGGCATTAACTTTTAAATACTAGGTTCATTACCTTGATGTTCCCTAAGCTTTCCCAATATTCTCTGCTTCTAAGAAACTTAACTACTATCTTTCTAGTTTGATGAAAAAACATCTGGTTGATTCTCGATCAAGTAACTACTGTTAAGATAAATGCATTTTGTGCTCTTTTTAGATTACAGGGTACTTTCAACACAAATCCAAGCAAGAGATTAGTCAATACAATAGAACAGGAGTTTTAAAGCAGCAAAACTTGAACTTTTTACTTTCCAAATGCTTTCAGGTCTCTAAACCAAAACACCAAATTTGTTGTCATTGAGTCAACTCTGACTCATGGTAACCCCATGTGTTACAGAGTAGAACCAAGCTCCACAGGGTTTTCTTGGCTGTAATCTTTACAATAGCAGATGACCAGCGCTTTCTTCCACAGTGCCACTGGGGGGGTTTGAACTGCCAACCTTTCAGTTAGTAGTCGAGCACAAGCTGCACCTCCCGGCCTTTTTCAGATCTCTAATTGGACTGTAAAGGGCTAGAAATCAGCTATCTCTATATAAAATGATGCAAAAAAGCTTCACTCGAATTTGGGTTGAAATATAGTCAATCCAAGAGGACAAGAATATCTATAAAGAAACAGCCCAAATGTCCATCAACAGATGAATGGATAAACAAAATGTGGTATATACATACAATGAAATATTACTCAAGTATAAAAAGGAATAAAGTACTGACACATGCTAAGAAGCCAGACACAAAAGGTCACATAATATATGATCCCATTTAAATAAAATCTTCAGAATAGGTAAATCTATAGAGACAGAACTTATTCTGGTAGTTGCCAGGGGCAGAGGGGAGTGGGGAGCAACTTCTTAAAGGTACAGGGTTTACTTTTAGGGTCATCAAAATGTTTTAGAACCTGGCACAATACTGTGAATGTACAAAATGAAACTAAATTGTTCATTTTAAAATGGCTAATTTTGTTACGTCAATTTCACCTCAATTAAAAAAAAAGAATGTTTAAGAAGTAGTAGATGGCTGAATTTGTATCAGGCAAGTTTATAAATATTTCCATATTTAGTTTAGACTAGTGGTTCTCAACTGGAGGTGATTTTGCCCCCTCTCATACCTCTTCCCCTCACCCCAAGGATGCTGGACAATGTATGGTGACATTTTGATTATCACAACTAGGGGCAAGGGTGCTACAGGCATCTAATGGGTAGAAGCTATGAATGCTGATAAACATTCTACAATGTACAAGGACAGCCCCTCCCCAACCTAGAATTATCTGGTCCAAAATCTCAATAGTGCCACTACTAAAAAACCCTGATGGAGACCCAGTACTGTTAAAAAGACACATAATTGAATGAAAATATTCAGAATATTTTTTCATGGCACAGCAAAAATAAGGGATCCAAGAGATGAAATAAAGCTGAGGAAATCTCCCAGAAAATGGAAAGAGATGGAAAATAGGAGACAAAGTTAAGAAAAATGGAGGATTATACCAGAAAGTTCAACTGCCAACTAACACATATCTAAAAAAAAAAGAGAACAAAGAAAAGAAATAGAGAAGCAACTTCCCAAAACTGAGAGACCTGAGTTTCCAGACTAAATTAAAAGACATACCAAGCCACATCACTGTGAATTTTCAGAACACTGGAGAGAAAGAAGATTCTAACAGCTTTCAGGGGGAAAAAACCAGGTCATACACAAAAGATTATGAGTTAGAAATGGCCATCAACTCTTCAACTTACTAGCTGTGAGACACAGGGAAGATTATTTACTCTCTTTTAACTTCAGTTTCCATTTGAAAGCTACAGGTAATAACCAAACCTACCTTATAAAGTTATTATGAGGACTTCACGCTTATAAAGCATGTAACATACAGTACCCTGGCCTATAGTTAGTAGGCTACAAAAGTAAACTTTTATTATTACTGTAACGTGCAATCCCTAGTACAGGATTTCAGTATCAAGATACTTCCTCCATCTCTTTACAGTGCAAAATCCTTCAGATTTGAAGAGCCTACTGTTAAGATGGGAACCTGAAATGCCCGATTCTTTTCCTTTTCTCAGTGGTTGGCTTCTCAAAACTATCTGGTTTCCCCAAATACATGCAGGATCAAAACAGAACCACAGGAAAGGAAGAAAAACCTATCTATTCACTAATCCCATTATTTTCAAGTCACTACTAGAAGGAAAGGAGGAATGAAGGGAGGGAGGGAGGAAGGGAACATGACAAGAAAATATGAAGTTTCTGTATTTCGGGGTAGTTTTGTTTTAAATCTGCAAAATTGTAATTAAGTGAAAAGCCAGCATTTTCCTATTAGGCAACACTGTAAAAATGAACTTTTGATGTAAAAATTAGTGGGTTTTTTTGATACTAATGTAGGGGTTATAGTATACTTATAAAATCAAAATCAAAAGAAAAGTTTCCTACCTCCTTATTTTGATGATAGTATGAAAGCACTGGGAATCTTCCCTTGCTCCGGAACTTGGAACTCCCAACAATTATTGGTTTGCTTGCTATTTGGGGAACATAAAGTTCTCTGGGGTAAGTTTCACAGATCTGTAAATATCAAATAAAATATAACCACTCTACTTACAGTTCAAAACCAGGAGGTTGAAAATCACCTTCAAAAAACTTTAAAACTTATTAAATGCAAAATTACATAGTAATGCATAGACAAATTGTTACTATAATGGTCTCTAACACCCAGCACTAACTTTTTTACTAAATTACCTTGTATTCTCGGTTTGCATCAGACAACTGCCAGTGTGAATTTGGCACTCCCATCCTCTTGTATTCCTCAGCAAGGTCAATAAGCTGCCAACCTTGTAGTCGTTCTGAGTCATTTTGCTTGGGATTATAAGAAAATGCATATAGATCTTCATATTTTGCTACAGAATACAAAATACACAAATATTGAAATGCAACTTATAGGACAAAACACAATACAAATAAAAGTAATTTTTCAGGTTTATCCCCATTTCTTCTTTAAAATCTTCATAGAGATGGCTAAGACCTGAATATACCAACCAAAAGAAAACCTATCACTGTCAAGTCGACTCCAATTCACAGCAATACTACAGGACAGAGCAGAATTCCCCCATAGGGCTTCCAAGGAGTGGCTGATGGATTCTAACTGTCGACCTTTTGGTTAGCAGCCGAGCTCTTAATCACTGCATCACCAGGGCTCCGCTTCAGCCTAACAGTTTCTCAGTTCTCTGATGCAAAATATTATATTTAAAGGTACACATATCACTTTGAGATTCAGTTTATGTAATCATCAAAAGTGAAGCTACTGACTTAGACCCTTCTATGTTAAATCCTCTACCACAAAATTTCCTTTTCTTAAAAATAAAATTTTTGAAACATAAAACACTTCCCACTCACCACTTTTCTCAAACAAGATGTAAAATGGAAAGAGTAATGCTGTAAATAGAAAACTAGAGATATGTATACAGAACAGGAAATTGCATTATACATTCCTATAGGGCAGTGTTGACCAAAACTGGCAATGGTTGCAGAGAGCTCAAGAGAGTACTTATTTTTGAACAGTGGCAAGCCCTTGAAGTCATGGAACCATCTTTACTCGAAGATCTAGTAGTATATAGGATGATGGGATATATGTTACAGGCTTTATGTATGACGACAGAAGAGTGACTACAGACCTGCTCCTAGATCAACCTTGCAGGCTACAATCCAGGTTTGTTTAACAAAAAAAGTAGGCTCGGTAACATTCAGTAACTAGTTTGTTTTGTCTCCTGAAGAGAACTATGTAATTCAAGTAATGTTGAGGGAAGAAGGCCCCCAGATCCCCAGGGCATAAGTAGTGACAGATTCCTCTTTAGGGCGTATCTCCCTCTCAATCCTAAACCACTTGTCATCTAGTCGACTCCAATTCATGGTGACCTCATTTGTGTCAGAGCAGAAACGTGCTCCACAGGATTCTCAATGGCTGATTTTACGGACACAGATCACCACGTCTTTCTTTTGAGGCACCTCTGGATGGGCTCAAACTTCCAACCTTTCAGTTAACAGCCAAGCTGTTAACATTAACTGTTTGCACCACCCAGGGAAATAGGATTCACCTCTCTCTTCCCTCTTTCATGTTCCACCTTAATCAATTAAGTATATTAGCCCCACTGCTATCAGAGTACTCTGACCTTCCTTAACTTTTCATTTAGTAATATCAATTTCCAAGTGATTCCCCTTGGTTGTGTAATACACACTTAAAAAAAAAAAAAAAGTTCTGCTACTGGCTATCAACAAGCTTAGAAAACATTAATATAAATCTACTGTTTCTTAAGTCTGTACTATAAATGTTTCACTTAACTCCTTTCTCTTATGGCTCCTTCTTTGGACACCATCCTTAGAATTCAGATCAATAATTTCTAATTATTTCTAGGCCATATTGTTTGGCATAGAGTACATAGGAACCTGACTGTCAGAGTAACTTAAAGTATAAAATAACAATAATGAGACATTAAATAATGTATCTTGGATCATCCATATCATAATTAAGCATGTAAGCTTTGGTCTCTAAGAACAATACCTTGTTTTGACAGTTGTAACAAAGAGTTGTAAATATCATGGCAATCTCTTTCTCTGGGAACAATGAAATGCACAATCCTGAAGTTCTTGCACTGAATCACAAGTGGGCATCCAGAAGTCGTCAACGCGAGTTTCTCTACTGAGGCAATATGGTGGTGTAATATCTACGCAGAATGAAAAGAATAGTCAAGTTGCCATTATAAAGAACACTAAATATCTTACTGTCTTCCAGAGTAAATAAATGTTAGAGATGCCCTCGATGCCCTCTTAAATTCAAAAAAGTCTCAAATGACATACATTACACACTCAAAATTTTAAAATGACTGAATGCCCAAGCCAGAAACATGGCCCGCATCTCCTGAATATCTCTGTAACTGGTCTACGGCTCTCCATCTCTACTGTCACATTCCTAGTTGTACTGTCCCCACTGCTTCTCACCTGAATCACTGCAAACAGCCTCCTAAATGCTCTCTCCATAGCTATTCCTGATGCCCTCAAATCCATTCTCTACAATACAGTCAAATTACTTCTAAAAACCAATCCAGTCACATTATTTCCTATTTCTTAAGACTCATTTCAACTCCCTTTCCCCATCACTAACTACATTCTTTCTGCCATAGCCTTCTTTTGGCTTCTCAAATGTGTCAAGTTCTTTAACACACGCTCTGAGTGGCTCTCATTAACTGGGATGTTATCACTCTACCTCTTCACCTAGGCATGCCTAGTCGTATTTTAGGTCTTTACTTAAAACTCTACTACCACCCAGAAGTATAGCCTGACATCCTTTACCCTCCTTCCCAAGTAAGTTAGGTCTCTCTATTTTCTTATCACACATCAACCTACACTTTTCCTTCATAGAACTTAGTATAAGAGTAACTTGCGTGCTGAATGTCTTTTTTTTCCAGCTAGATTTTTGGGCACTTCATAAGGACCAAGACTTTAGCTAAGTTGATCATCATTACATCTTCAGAACCTAACACAGTACCTGAAGCATTATAATTGCTCAATAAATTTTGCTAAATGGATGAATAAAAAAGTCCCACTATAAACTCATACTTGATGCATTTTTAAACATATGATTAACACTCTCAGCCAATCAGTAATATTCTGTTTTCTACTAAAAAAATTCTCCCTCTCCTCAATATTATCCCTATTAATTCAAAATATTCATAGGAAACTTTTCTGGAGAGTAAAAAATTTTGGAGTGACAGCAAGTTTCTGAATGAGAAAACTCAATCATGCCAAGAAATCAAGTCATCCCAAACTAGTCTACAAATTTAGCATAAATTCCAATAAAAAATTCCAGTCTGGGTTTTTTTTGTTTTGTTTTGTTTTTTTGTGGAAGGGTAAGGGATAGATGATTATATATAATTATATATATTATGCATGGTAACATATAATTATGTTACATGTTAAATGTAAGATCTATATTAATGCAAATAATTATAATATTAATGTGTTATATATTAAGCATGTATCTAAAATTTATATCGAGATAAAATGCATAAAAATAATAAAGAAAAGCTTAAAAAAGAAGACTAATGAGGGAAGAACTTGTTCTGTGGAAATCAAAACCGTATATAGCAAAGGTAATTAACACATACATAGCCCATACTTAAGACTAAGATTCAGCAAAGGGAGTGTGGGTCATCTTAGTCATTCAATCTGTATGCTGAACAAATAATCTGAGAAGCCAGACTATATGAAGAAGAACATGGCATCAGGATTGGAGGAACACTCATTAACAACCTGTGATATGCAGATGCCACAACCTTGCTTGTCAGAAACGAAGACAACTTGAATCACTTACTGATAAAGGTCAAAAACCACAGCCTTCAGTATGGATTACACCTAAAGTGAATGAAAACAAAAACCCTCACAACTGGACTGATAAACAACAACATGATAAACAGAGAAGAAATGGAAGTTGTCTATGATTTCCATCTACTTGGGTCAACAATCAATGTCTATGGAAGTAGCAGTCAAGAAATCAAGTGATGTATTACACTGGACAAATCCATGGCAAAAGATCTCTTTAAAGTTTTAAAAAGCAAAGATGTCACTTTAATAACTAAGGTGTGCCTGACTGACCCTAGCCATGGTCTTTTCAATCACCTCATATGCATGCAAAAGCTAGACAGTGAAAAAGGAAGACAGAAGAACTGATGTGCTCAAATTGTGGTGTTGGTGAGGAATCTTGAATATGCCATGAATATGCCATGAACTGCCAGAAGAATGAACAAATCAGTCTTAGAAGAAATACAACCAGAATGCTCTGTAAAAGCAAGAATCGCGAGGCTTCAGCTTGCTTACTTTGGACATGTCATCAGGAAAGATCAGTCACTAAAAAAAGGACATCATGGTAGGTAAAGTAGAGGGTCAGCAAAAATGAGGGAAACCCTCAATGAGATAGATTTACACAATACCTGCAACAATGGACTCAAACACACTAACTATCATGATGATATCCCAGGACTGGGCAACATTTCATTCTGTTATACATAAGATTGCCATGAGTCGGAGCCAACTTGATGGCAACTAACAACAAAAACAACGGCAGCAGCAACATTTATATTGGAGGACCTGTGCCAAGTTACTCAAAATAATCAAACTAATAGTAATATCTAGTTACGGAATAAGGGACAATAAGCTAGTAATATTATACATATCACTATTATGATTCCAATTGAAACTCAAAATTATTTGCAGAAAGAGAATGATGAAGGGTCCTGGCTCTACTACCAACCAGCTATCGTATCTTGAAAAAAAGAATCATCTGTAAAACGCAAAAAAGAAAAAAAGATTGATAAGGTCCTTCTAGATCTAAAATGCTCATTTCTGTGGATAATAAAGAGATTTCATTCATGAGAAATATTAGGGAATATAATGATGAGAAGGCATTTTTAAAATAACAATAGGAGAGAAGAGAATAAATAGATACCTTTTAGCTGCCTCCAAAAACTAAGTTACCAACATCTGAAATAATAGCTATACGGGAAACTTCCACATGTATCTCTAAGAGATGGATAACATTCAGAGAAGATACTGGGAGGTAGGGAGTGAACAAAAGAAGGCTAGCAGAGTAGATGGTAATATGACTAATAACTTTACATGCTACTGCTAGGTTAAACTCCTGACAGTTCCTAGACAAACAATGGATGGGGAAGATCAAGTGCCTCTAGGGAACACAACTTCTCCAAAATCAACATCTCATGTAAATAACTTACTTACTGCAATCACAGCAACTGGATGGCCCTTCTGTGAAAATCCAAAGAGTATAATCAAAAGACAAGATAGAAAAGAATGTGGCACACTCCATAAGGGTTGATCACAGAGCAATATGACTGCCTGGGAGTCATCACCGAGCTCTAATCTTGATTCTACTACATGCAAAAATAATAAAAGCAGCTATGATTTATTGAGTCACTACTGTGTTTCAGGTAGATGCTTTTCATATTTGATCTCATTTAAGATTCGCAAAGTCCTACATGATAACAGGTGCTATACCCATTTTACAGCAGTACTAAGTCTCAAAGTTAAACACTTTGGCAGACACTGTTGGTATGCCACTCCTCTCCACCTTCCTTACAGGCAGTCTGCGGATGACAAACAAGTTCCGTTCCTAAGTCTGTCTTTAAGTCAAACTTGTACGTAAATCGAAACAGGTATGGTTCATATCTAACGTCAGTTAATCAAATGTTTGTCCTACTATATGTTATATACCTTTCTATGCACAAAAACATTAAAGAAACACTTCCAGTTACACTAAAACATATTTATCATAATAATACAGTAATAATAATAGTGTTGATGCACATCACAAAGTAGCACACATTTGTTATTAGGAACCGTTGTATGTACATCGAATTTTTAATATAATAGGCTTTACAGGGGTTGGTTTCTAACTATGAGTTATACGTTTAAGTCGGAAGTTTGTAATCTGGAAACTGCCTGTACCTGCAACACCAATTTCCCACAGGAGACTAAAAATGCCAGAAACCTGCTTTCTCTGCCTGCTAAGCAGGTAGGGGAGGTAGGGTCATTGGTACAGTGTAAAAAAACCCATTGCCATTGAGTTGATTCCAACTCACAGCAACCCTATAGGACAAAGTAGAACTGCCCCATAGGGTTTCCAAGGAGTGCCTGGTGGATCCGAACTGCCAACCTTCTGGTTAGCGCTGTAGCTCTTAACCACTACGCCACCAGGGTTTCCTGGTAGTGTAGAGAGCTCGAAAGCAGACCCACAAATATATATGGAAGCTTTATTTATGGCAGAGCTGGTACTACAGATCAATGGAAATGAACAGTCAATAATCAGCACTGGTAATCCATATGAAAAAAATAAAACTGAATCCCTACCAGACACCAAAATATTTTCCAGCTGTATTATAAACTTATGTGGATACATGGAAGGCAAAAGTTAAGCCTTTAAATGAAAATATAGAAAAATCTTTATAATCTTGACATAGGGAAAGATTTTTTAAATCACAAAAGAGCACAAACCATAAAAGAGAAAGTGATAAATCTATGACATTAAAATTTTACACTTGACTTAAAAGACACATACATACACATACAAAAGACAAGCCACACACTGGGAGAAGCTATCTATATAACATACATAGCTGATAAAGCATTAAAAACCAGAACTCATAAAATCAATAAAAGAAAGACAACCCACAGAAAAAGAAAAGGAAACCTACTGGCCAAAATATATGAAAGGATAACTTCCTTCTAGTCAGTAAATTAAAATCGTAATGTATATCCACCAGATATGCAAAAATTTTAAAGGTGACAATACCAAAGGTTGCTGAGGATATGGAACAATGTGTCATACTCTAGTATATGAATAGTAATTGGTATCACCATTTTAGAGAGGTGGCATTTAGTAAGATTGAATATGCACTTATCCAAGACCCAATAATTTTACTCCCAGGCAAACATCCCAGAGAAACTCTGGCACATAAATACAAGGAAATAAATCCAAGACGCCCATTACCGGATTGTTTGCACTAAGAAAAAAATTTTAAACACCCTAACTGCAATTTGGTATAAAAATATTGTGGAATATGCTATTTGATCTGTTAACATGTATTTTTTTAAAAAATAAAAGAAACAAATAGGTATTTTATAATAATTTAAGGACATAAGAGTCTTTCTTGTATTCTACGGAAGAATTCCACATTATACATATCACAAGGAAGAAAGGCAGAAGTGATCCGGCTACTTTGAAAAATGTTTGGTTGAGGTAAGTTACCATCTGTTACGGATTAAACTGTTCCTACCCTACCCCTCCCCAAATATGTACTGGAATGCTAAACCCTATACCTATGGATGTAATCCTATTTGGAAATAGGGTTTTCTTTCCGGCGTTAATTAGATCAAAGATGAGTAGGGCGGGTTCTAAATCTAATCACTTCTGATTTAGAACAGAACAGAGAGGGAAGACAGACATCATGTCAGGATCACCAAGGAACCAAGGAACACCCAAGGCTACCAACAAGGAAGGAACCAACATGGTCAAGACCCTAATTTGGACTTTCAGCCGCCAGAACTGCAAGAAAATAAATCTCGGTTCTTTAAAGCCACCAACTTGTGGTATTTCTGTTACAGCAGCACTAGAAAACTAAGTAACCAATGATTAAACATTTTATACATATTTCAAGTCCATTATTATTATGTTGTTAAACAATACATGTGGGGTTCTCCTTACCCAAGTTTCTTTTTGATGAGAGTCTATAAATAATAGATGGGTGGCCGTAAGATACAGTGTTCCTGTTAATGACTTGTTGCTGGTGCTGAATCGGTCTAGTACTTTCACTTGTTCAACCTAAAAAAGAACAAGATTATTATTTCTCATTTCAAAGGTAGTATAAATTCTTTTTCTGTTATCCTAGAATTTACATGCAGCGTTTTCAATTGTTTTTCCTCCTTATGTTCAAAAACTTAAAAAGCTTATTGAATATTCAATGTTAAATTTCACGTCTTTTTGGAGACTATATGAACCACAAAAAAAAAATAGATACTATTTACAGTTACAAATATAACCCACTGATAAGAATTTTATATGAAAAAAAGATTAGCATACATATTAGGCAGAACAGAAAGAAGGCATGTGTTATAAATAAGCAAAAACATTTTGTATACTCAAGAGTTAAAATATTTTATTTAAAGTTGCCCAATAAAGGAAAAAATACATAAGGTTACTATCTAGAGTTGCAGAAGTAAACTACTAGAAAAATTAAATCAGAAAACAGAAGGGTTGCAAATTCCAAATTAGTCTCTATATTCTCCTCCCCCTCCATACCAGTACAATGACTGTTCATGTCCAGTTTTGGACTTTTACTCATACTGTTCTCCCTTCCTAAAACAGTCTCTTCTGTCAAGGCAGTGGAGGCACCCAGTACAGGTAGTCCATAACTTATGAAGCGGTTCTGTTCCAATGACTCTGTCATAAGTTGGTTCTGACGTAAGTTAAATACATTTTTTTAGTTTTCATTATTATTTTCTTTTATTATCAATATCTTTATAAATCCAGTCTTTGTCTTTGGGGATTGGCATGAGAATGATTAACACCAGCAAATTACATGCTGCAACACTGTATGCAGTACATATTACTAATGAAAAGATATACAAAAAAAAAAGGACGGTCATAAAGTGCAGTTTGGTGTAACTCAAATATGTCATAAGTCAGGGACTACCTGTACTTTTTCATTAACAGTAGTAGATTCGCATATACACACACACAGGAGGCTGCCTTTGGAGAGTGGGACTAGGGTTGGCCAGAAATATGCAGAATACTGCTCTGAGAAAATGGTAGTGTTATTTTATTAAAAAAAGGTTTAATAACCATGAAGAACTTAAACAAAATAATTTACAGCTACAGAAGTAGATTACAGATAGTTCTTTAAATTATGTGTCTTCAAAAACAGATAGCTAGCCATTATCTCATTCATTCTATACTCTACCCACATTTTCCTTTCCCTTATTAAAATTTAAGAACATAATGCCCCCATTATGAAATTATGATTTCTAAAATAATCAATAATTACTACTTAAAAGACTGGTTAGCTTTCCCCCAGTACCAGACATTTACGTGTATGAGTATAACAACAGCACCTGTTTGCATATGGAGAAGACAATGAATCGCGGGTTTTTTTTTTTTTAATTACATGGTGTTTTCGGTGCAAGTTTACACAGCAGTTTAGGTTCGTATTCAACAGTTTCTACATAAGTCATTCAGTGACATTGGTTACATTCTTCACAATGCGTGAACATTCTCCTTATTTCCATTCTGGTTGTTCCATTTCCATTAATCTAGTTTCCCGGCCCCCTTACATTTTCATCCTTGTTTTAAAATAATTGTTGACGGTTTGGTCTCACACAGGTGATTTCTAAAGGAGCACACTACTTACAGGTGATATTCATTATTTTGTGAGCCAATCTGCTATTTAGCTACAAGGCAACCTCAGGGGTTAGTTTAAGGTTTAAAGAGTCTCTCAGGGCGTCCTCCAGTCTAGTAGGTTTGGTTGCTGTTTTTTTTTGGAATTTGAGGTTCTGATCCACATTTTTCTCCCTTTCTGTTAGGGTCCATCTATTGTGGCCCTGATTAGAATGGCCAGTACTGGTAGCCAGGCACCATCTTCTGGTCTCAGGGTAAATGAGGCCATGGTTCATGTCCTATAGACTAGTTTCTCTTTGAGTCTTTGGTTTCCTTCTTTCTCTTTTGCTCTGGGATGCATAGAGACCAACAGCTGTACGTTAGATGGCTGCTCACAAGCTTTTAAGACCCCAGACACTACTCACTGAACTAGGATGTACAATATAACTTCTTAACTATCTCAGTTGACCAAGATGTCCCATAAGACCATGGTCCTAATCCTTCAAACCCAGAATCCAATCCCATGAGGTGTTTGGTTATATCTAAGAAGTATCCCTAACTGTGATCCCTGTGTGCTTTGTTATACGTATGAATATATATGCATACCATCACGTAGATGCATGTACATATGCATATACCTATATATACAGACATACATACATACCTACCATCATGGACTGGATTGTGTCCCCCAAAAATACGGTCAACTTCGTTAGGTCATGATTCCCAGTATTGTATGATTGTCTACCCCTTTGTCATCTGATATGATTTCCCTATGTGTTGTAAGTACTATCACTATGATGTAAATGAGATGGCTTAGCAGCAGTTATATTGATGAGATCTACAAGATTAGATAGCGTCTTAAGCCAATCTCTTTTAAGATACAAAAGAGAGAAGAGAGCAGAGAGACATGGGGACCTCATACCACCAAGAAAGCAGTGCTGGGAGTACAGTGCAACCTTTGGACCTGAGGTTCCTATGTGGAGAAGCTCCTAGACCACAGGAAGATTGATGACAAGGACATTCCTACAGAGCCAACAGAGAGAGAAAGCCTTCCCCTGGAGCTGACACCCTGAATTTGGACTTCTAGCCTACTAGGCTGTGAAAGAATAAACCTCTCTTCGTTGAAGCCATCCACTTGTGGTATTTCTGTTACAGCAGCACTAGATAATTAAAACACCTACACACATATATGCCTACATATGTGCATATATACCCACACATATGTTTTTTGGTTGTTTTCGCTGCTGTTTCAAAATTATATGCCACAGCATTACCAACAAGTCCATTTTTCTCGTGTACTTTTTAGTGACATCATTTACCTTCGTCAAGCTGTGTACATTTCATCCGCACTCGATGTTACCTTTCCCATTACCAAAAATAACAAGTATCTACTATCTAGAGAGTGAATCCCTCCCTCCCCCCCCCCCCATACCTGGTAATCACTAATGAACATTAGTTTCTGTATATTTACTTGTTCATGTCATTTCATAAAAGTGAGAATATACAATATTTGTTTTTTTGTGATTGATTTATTTCAGTCAACATAACGTCCTCCAGGTTTATCCATGTTCCAAGATGTTTTGGGAACTCATTTTTATCACTGAGCAGTACTCCACTTCCTGAATTCAAAACATGTTACACAGCTACAGTAATCAAAACAGCCTAGTACTGGTTTAATGATAGACACTGTATATATGTACATTTTACTTATCCATTCATCTGTTGACAGGCACTTGGGTTGTTTCCATCTTTTTGCTATTGTGAATAGCACTGCGACGAACATAGCTGAGCATGTATCTGTTCGTGTCACTTCTATTAGATCCCTAGGATACATAACTAGGAGCGGAACTGCTGAGTCATATGGCGAGTCCAGCTCTAGTTTTCTGAGGAACCGCCAAACTGTCTTCCACAACAGCTGTACGAGGGTTCCAGTTCCCTCCAACACTTGTTATTTTCCCTTTTTTTTTTTTTTGTTTAATCTTTGCCATCCTAGTGGGAGTGAAATGGTATCTCATTCTGGTTTTGAATTGCATTTCTCTAATAGCTAATGACATTGAGCACCTTTTCATGTGTCTGTTGGCCATTTGAATATCCTCTTTGGTGAAGAGCCTGTTCGTGTCCTTTGCCCTGTTTTTGACTGAGTTGTCTTTTTGTTAAGTTGTAGAAGTTTCCTATATATTTTAGATATTAGACCCTTATCAGTTATATCATTCCTGAACATTTTTTCCCAGTCTGTAGCTTGCCTCTTTACTCTTTCGATAAGGTCTTTTGACGAACATAAGTTATTTTAACTTTTATTATGCAGTCCCAGTTATCTATTTTGTTTCCTGTTGCTCATGCATTCGTTGTTGTGTTTCATAATCTATCACTGAAAAAAATTAGGTTTTAAAACTTTGCTCCTACATTTTATTCCAAGAACTTTAAGGTTTTAGACTTAATATTTAAGTCCTTGATCCATTTTGAATTAGTTTTTGCACATGGTGTGAAGTATGGATCGTTTCGTTTTTCTGCATGTGGAAATGCAGGTTTGCCAACACTATCTGTTGAAGAGACTACTCCTTCCCATTGAATGAATTTGGCACCCTTGTCAAAAATCAATGACCACAAATGTTTGATTTATGGATTTTCAATTCTATTCTGTTGGTCTATGTGACTATCATTAAACCAGTACCAGGCTGTTTTGATTACTGTAGCTGTGTAACATGTTTTGAATTCAGGAAGTGTGAGGCCTCCTACTTTGTTCTTCTTCAAAATTGCTTTGTCTGTTTGGGGTCTCTTGTATTTCCATATAAAACTGAGGATTAGTTTTTCCATTTCTGTAAAGAATGCTGTTAGAATTTTATCGGGATTGCACTGTTTATCTGTAGATCGCACTGGGTAGTATTGACATCTTGACTATGTAAATCTTCCAATCCGTGAGCATGGAACATCTTTCCATCTATTTAGGTCTCCTTTAGTCTCTTTCAGCAGTGTGTTATAATTTTCATTGTATAAGACTTCCACATCCCTGGATAAATTTATTCCTAGATATTTTATTCTCTTAGATACCAATATAAATGAAGCTGTTTTCTTAATCTCCTTTTCAAATTTTTCATTGCTGGTGTATAGAAACACAACTGATTTTTGTGTGTTGACTTTGTATCCTGCAACTTTGCTAAATTTCTCTACTAGTTCTAGAAGCTTTTTAGTAGTTTCTTTGAGATTTTCTATATGTAGGATCATGTCATCTGCAAATAGGGATAGTTCTACCTCTTCCTTTCCAATTTGGATACCTTTTCTTTTTCTTGCTAACTGCTCTGGCTAGAACTTCCAGTACAGTATTGAATAGGAGTGGTGAGACTGGGTATCCTTATCTAGTTTCCATTTTCAAGTGGAAAGTGCTGAAATCTTTTTCCACTGAGTATAATGACAACTGTTGTTTTTTCATAATTGTCCTTAATCATGCT